GCCTCACTCTCCGCTCGCTTAATGCCCCGGCAAACGAAAAAGAGGGAAAAACGCGCAGTGAACGAGAGAATCCCTCGCTCTCCCTAAGTCGCATATCCTTCGCTTCGCATTTTACACCGTGTAATATCCGACTCGATCCGTATTCCCAACTGTTTCCAACCGAAGGAATTTTGTTCAATTTTTTTCACTCGCGAACGATTTGCTCTTTTCGGTGAAACTATTCCTTCAATAATCACGCATCGTTTCATTCAGTACCCCATTCAGAAATCCACTGACTATTCTATTGGCTTAAAGTACAAACACCGATTGAACCCGAAATATCGTAACAGTAAAAATTTTAGTTCTCAAATGAATCGTTGTCAATCGTTTATCAATTCATTGCCATTGGTCAGACGTTTATTAGAACGTCGCTGGGTACGTGGCGAACAGGCGGATCGGAGTCACGAGCGTAATCTGTCACCGGTACCGCTTCCAGCACAGTTTTCTACGTCTTATCGCGGCATCGGTTCGCATTTAATCCCGGCAAAAAAGCAGTGCCCCGTTCCTCCGTGGGGACCGTAAGCCGCCCGTGTGGCGCCTGCATCCTTGCCGGGCGTACGACAACCCAACGACAATGCCGATCCCGCCGGTAGACCCTCGAGACGCTGCACGAATCTGTCGCGCACACCGGGTGACTCGTTTCAAACGCGTCCCGAAAGTAGGAATTGAAAATTTTTAAACAGAGTTATTGAATCCGTGCTCATACGCATTTGTATTCGCAAGGGAAGATTTGGATTCGATAATAATTATTGTTAATAAACAATTAAAATAGAATATATAAAGTACAGTAGTGGAAATTATTAATACAACTTGATAGTCAGACACTGTGCAGAACGCTAACACAAATTCGACTGTATATTATTTGTAATCGACGAAGGATATGGAATAGTAAAATGTTGCTAAGGGAGGAACAGCGGAGAGGAAAGACAGTAGGATCGGCATTATAAGAGAACCAATCTAATATCCGGGGGTGTCGAAATACAAAATGTCGGAATCTCGGCCGTTCGGGACGGGCCGTTATGATTTAGCTGCTCGTAAACGGCTCGGCTCGATGTTGGAAAAATATTAAAATTGAAAAATCCTCAACGGTGATATACGCGTGCGTGATATTGGTGGCCGGCAGATGTCCCGTTTCCCGAAGGTTGCCGGTGGATAAGAACTCGCCCTCCGAAGGGATACGGGAGCGCGAGGAAGAATCCTGGAGAAAAACCGGTACGGCGAGAGGGTGGGTTCGGGGGTTTCGGAAGGGAAATAGGGTTCGCGGGGTGAGAATGGGGCTGGTGACGACGCGATATTGTCTCGAGACTCGGTGACTCCGCGTGTCGGGACAATGCTACTTTAAAATATTGTCAAAAGTATAAAGAGAAGAGCGCGGATGGAAAGGGTAGGGGCGAGGGTCGCGGATATATAGAAAAGGGTGAGGAAGATAGAAAGAGAGTGGGCATGCGTGAAGAGGGTAGAGAGAGGGTGTCGCGCCACTTGTCGCGAGGACACACGTGTCGCACGCTATTGGAGTCAGGGAGAAGGGTGACTCCAAGCCACCCCATATACGTGCCATTTCCTATTCCCGCGCTCGCATTTTGCCCACCTATACGTGGGGACTTTAAAGTGAAATAAATTAGAACCGATGCTCCCTGAATAACTCTTTCTCTCTCCGGTCTCAATCCCGCCGAGTTCGGGAGCGCCAGACCCCTTTCGAAGGGGCACAGCTCTGGCCTATAATCGCGGTTTCGACGCATTTGTCACTATGTTTATCGCCGAATGCGATATTGAAACTGCGGGGCGTTGTGCTTATGGTGACGCGTTTAAGAGTCGATTCAATTTTTTAGTCGTCCCGCTTCTCTTGTAACTCAGAAATACTCTTCGTTGCTTTGTGAAATCTATTGAGCAGAACTCGCAGTTTTAACTGCCCGTTGCATGGACTCTCCGTGTCAGACGACGACAGCTCTGGAATCTCTATTTTAAAATAAAACTTGGTTACCAAGGCATGAAAATTCTGGAGCATTCATCTTCTCGCTTTCCTCGCAGGTACTTCCGTTGTCCAGCTGCTAAATTATTCGAAAGATCCGAATCTTAAGGGCAGAGCTGCTGAATTATTAATTTTATAGGCGTTATTGGATGCGTGCGCTCGGCTATCTCGATACCGGCACGCATTAGTCAAACGGTGCTCGTTGCCGATCGACCTCTCGATCTCTCGTTTTCGTATTGTTAATATCTTTGTAAATGCGAACGAGCGCCAGAGCAGAAGAGGCAGCTGCTTCCTGCCGCGACCGAGGAGGAAAAGTCCGGTCGCCCTCTCACCTGCCGCACGCCGCCCTCCGCGCGATACTAATTGCCAGATAACGTCGCCGTGATGTTTTCTTCAACGCGACACGATTTCGTGCATTCATCGATTCCACTTTACGCGTCATTTCGCACACGTACACGAAACTTTTTACTCCGTACAAACACGAACCACGTGTTACAAGCTAAATCCGTTCCTCGTATCGAACAAAGGCGATTTATATGACCACTATACATATATAAATTATAGATTCCATGTATTTATATAAAAAGTATACCTGCAAAAAATATAGTAGAACAAATTCCTATTTGAACTTAATTTTATAAATTTTATAAATGTTATAAATATTTTCTTTTGCATGAAAATCCGTAATCGGAACGAATATATCTGCTTCATGAATAATCTTGTACAAAGACTTAATTTAGTTTGGTTGTTTAATTAAGTTGAAAAATGAAAGCAGGGTGAGACTAATAATGAAGATACGCTGATCAATGGCAGAATAAACGATGTCAGGTGTTTCGTACCTTTGGTTGACAGCGTGTATCGCGTATAGGTAAGGGAAGACGTTTGTTTCATATCGTTCACATAATTGCGTGTCGCCCGTATATCGGGATCCATTGCCGTGACGAGGACAAGGCAGAACGTATTATTAGAGCGCGATGAGGGATTGCATTGTCACAGGAATGGTGTAATCCTAGTGACGGACGTAATAGTAGCTTTTGTTCGAAACCTTTTTTTCCCGTTAATGAGATGCTTATTGTGATAAGTAGAGAGTAATCGCTGGGTCTTTTTGTCGTGATGTAAGTGCGAAGAATCTCGTTATTCGTGGTAGATTAATCACCTGGATCGCAATCTGTCTCTTGAATCCTCGATTATTTACTCTAATAATAACTCTAATAATTAATAAAAAGTTTTATCGATTTGAATTAATTACTCGAAAGTTTAACAGAGAATTTATGTTTTCGTCGTTCCATTTTGAATCCACGTAAGGATTTTACAGTGAGCGCAACAAGCCGGATGAAAGAAGTCGGAAAGTTCACCGATCTATCCGTCGCACGCAAAGGTTCGTTTTCTTCGGCATCGCGTTTCAATCTGGCTCTCTCCCTCCCCGATGCCCTGGTGCACGCACTGGAGATAATATTGTTGCCCCGCGGAAATGTGAATTCGCACGCTCCGAGTGATATTCATAACGCTGCCGCGTCATTAATTCCTCATTGTCTCCTGCGGCCACTTTTCGCCCCCACCCGCGCGACGATTTTTCCACGTATTTTCCACAGCGTCGCTTCCCCTCGGAAGAAAAAAATCACCGTGACGCGACGCGATAACGCGGCAACAAAGACGCTCGTTTTTCCCGCAATTCCTTTGCGCGAATTTTCCTTCACTCATACGGACCGGATCCTCAATACGTTGTTTCGCTTGTATGGAAAATATGAATACGAGATCTAAACGTTGATTCATAATTTGACTTTCCGCAGGGGTATACGCCGTTGCACATCGCTATGCAGTTCGACCATGAGAATATCTTCAATCTGTTGGTCCAGGTTTATGGTAAATTATCCTTATGAATTTTAAACTTGCGTTACATCGGTCTGCATGTCCTTATCTAGTTTTTTTCTCGCATTCAATTAAAACTCTGAGCGTACCAACTTAGTTACAAAATTGCGTCAGTTGAAGTCAAAGACCGATAGTAGTCTTAATCAGCTTGTAACATAATTAAATTCATATGTACGGCCGCGCCTAATCCAACCGTTAAAAGATCTCGTCGATTTCACGGAATATTTCACAGGTGCTAACCAAGAGGTACGCGACTACAGTGGAAAGAAGGCCAGACAGTACTTGGTCTCTCAGGAGGCCGCTGTCAGTCACGACACCTTTCGCAGTAAGTATCGCTCTTGCTTCAACAAACGAAAATCGAGGAGAGAAAAACAAGGAAAGCGTTAAAAGATGATGAACGATATTGATCAGCTGCCTTGAGCCGCGATAATCGAGTCGTAAATGCAACCGCTATCAGGGCGGACGATCGAGCGATGTTATCGACGAGCTCTGTAAATGAGACACGTCAATGTTTCATAATAGTTGCACAAAGGAGGATATATCGGTAACGCTTAAGTAAATCGTCAAATAAATTACGTCCTGTTGCTATTATTGTTTTGTTCAATCGTTTTCTATCGTTTTCTTGTCATGATTAAATCGATACGACCGGTAGTATATTAAATTCGTATTAATATCGAGTCTCAATAACCAGATGCTATTGTCGCCCGAACGTGCGGGACGTTAAAAGGCGAGCGGTCGGAATCGAGGAGAAAGCGTTATACCCCCATAACGCAGGATCCCCCATCGCTTAAATTGTATTTTAAAAAGACCACCACCTTTCTGCCGATTTAATTAAATCGTCCTCGTTATATCGAAATCGCGTACACCGTGGACTGGAAGCATCGCGCCATTACAACGCGGCGGACTCTCGTTCACTTTTAATACTCATTACAGTATTACGTCAATGAATTTAAAGTCCACGCTTTCAGTCCGTGGTGCGCGTGTTTTTAAAAATTAATTCGCCAATTATTTAAAATTTCTTTTTCACGATTCATCGAATTGATTCGAAGTAGTTAACGATTCTCAGTTGACTCCATATCGGATGAGACACAGTGTAATGAAATACGAATGCGAAATCGCTGTGATAGAGCAATTACAAGTTTCCGTAGCAAGTACACCGCAGTTTGCACCGCTTTCATACGCTTGGCTCTGGTTCAGCCTCGATCTTACTCGCCTTTTATTTTCATTATCAGCTATCTTTTTTTGATCGCATGCATGATGACCATACTACCGAGGAACTCGCCTGTCGTGTCTCGACGCCGTTTGCTTCCTAGTCTCCATACATTTTTCCTTTTAGAAGTAGCATGCTGTCGCGACTAATCTACACGAGGCATTAACTTGCCCGTGAACATCGACAAGTGTGCCTTCACCGTTCCTTTTTCGATATTGCAAATAATTACATTCCCTTAGTTACATAAAATTGAAATCACATGTCCGGATCATTTTCTTTTAATACATCTCGTAATATTCTCACGCCTTATCGAAGCATAGAAAAATCCTTCTCCCTTTGTGAACAGAAACATTACAACATTGACAATGCGGAGTAAGGATTTTTAGAAAGGGGTGCTTGAATAGTTGCCACAGTTTTTTTTTTATTTCTCCGTCGATTTTACCTCTGATTGATATCTGCCTTATTTCTTGTACAAGAATTCTTTAATCTTCCACTCATCGCTTTCCAAATCACCGAACCTTCATTATTTTTCGCTCCACTGCTTCGGTTGATCTCCACATTATCTGGCGCATGCATTCTCGGCTTAATTCGTAAAGCGTTCCTTCTCCTTCAGACGAATCAAGTATAAAAAAAGGTGTACAGGTGTATTCCGTGTGAGGATGACAATGCGATTGAAAATAGACGGCAGGATATGGTGTTTCGGGCTCTGTCCTCCTCTGTCCTCTGTTCTCGGTGAGTATTCGGGGCTCTGGAAGTATTCTTCTGTTGTAGGGATTACTGCTGCCGCTACGCTCAGGCAAGTTCAGAAGCACACCTCTGCTAAAGTAGTAAAGCGCTTGTGTCGCAAGATTAAAGTAGCCGCACCTTTAGAGTAACGTATGAACTGTCACTTTTTGTCCACGCTGACGTGAGTATTTGCACGGGGAATTCACGGGTCCACCTTTAATACTGGCGAGTCTGCAAAACGATGAGACGTCAAGAGGCTCGTGACAAAAGCAACTCTAGTCAGAAACAAATCAATAAATCTGCAACTTCGTAGTTTACGAAATCCTATAGAAAATATCAAATGTATTGAATCTGTTATTTAAATAATTGAAATCTTCAGACGAAAATGGAACGGGTTTTTGTCGCGAACCCCTCAGCCGAGGAAGTCGATTTGCTATTTTTCTTTTTTCTTTTGATTGATTTCGATTGATTGTAATTAAAATTTCTGTGGACCCGTTTATTCCTGACGTTCCAAAAGAATTGTGTACACGTTCGGTACTCGTGATTGTTGACTGTTTTATCTATGAGCGAATTATACACCACGATTTTATGACGTTCTCAGACCTAGCTTCGTTTTTGTGACCTGGTATATAAAACTTGTTGTGATCGCGTCGAGATATCATGTTTTATCGTGTTTGTTTAACGTTGCGCTTAAACGAGAATACGCTTGAAAGTTATGAAACTTGAACGATGGTACTCTTATACGTGCTATTTGATACGCTCGAGGCGTGACGCGTGGAACACGCGTGCTCGTGCCAGACAGGATTAAATAAATTATTTGCAGATCGATCGGAATAGTTCGACTCGCTCCGAATACGATTAGTCATTCGAACGAAACGTATAAAAACGATCAGTCGAAGTGGCAGTAGTACATACTTACATACTTGAAAACGAACCTGGCACCGTAGAAATTGTGTGTGACTTTAACCCAGCGGGCCGGCGATGTGAATGTTTTCTTTATGTTCCACGATCGTTATCGCGGACGATTTACATGTTTATGCACTCTGTCGATCGCGTGAGCCGGCGTAAACGAGACGGAGACGCGAAGGAAAGCCAAAGTTTCCAGAGCAGACTCTGCGTTTCACATCGTCGGCTAACAACAATCGCCGGTGTTTTCTTTGTTGTCACTGTTACACGCGTGATAATAAAGCATGCGTATTTACACGGAAGCATGAGAATTTTTACCAATCTCGTTGTACGTACTTACAATTAGATCTGTCTATTCGTCCTCGGGACTCGCCCGCGGTCCGCGCCGTGGCCAATTGTGATTCGGCAATTGAAAACGGTCTTTGTCAATAACAGAAATCACTTTGTTGCACGTTCCGTCGCGCACTGATCCCTCTAAAAGTTCACTCAACCCTAAATCTCCCATCTGATACCCCATCTGACACCGCGATAGACGACCGATTTCTCGCGACTTCGTCATTCACGAACAAGGAATAAAACGAGTTACTTTTTTAATTAGATTAACTCTATCTTATCGGATGACTCATCAAATGTCTCGATTTTACGTCAAAAGTATTTCTTGATTGATGCTCAGTAAACTTTGATAACAAAAAATTACAATAAAATGTCGGAATTAAAATCTTTTAAGCATTTTATTGAGCATCGAATATTACTCGTCAATTCTCTCTTATTCTAGCTGCGAATAGAGCGAAAGCTGTCGTGGTAACAAAACGTTTGCTCACGTGTCTCGCTAACTACAGTGGCTAATTTCGTTTAATACGTTCTTCCCAATAACTGTTCCTAACAATTAAACTCCTACGTTCCGGCGATCGCACGTTGCGACTTGAGCGAGACAGTTTCAAATGATTTTCTATTTTATTTCAGAAATAAAAGCAAGGAAAAAGCATGCAGGTAAGAAATAATCCGCATGGAACGATCATTAATTAAATGGAGCTAATACAATTGAAATAGTGCATGCGACGGGCAGTAGTAGTAGTAGTAGTAGTAGAAGTAATAGTAATAGTACTATAGAGAATGTTTAGAGTAGTTTTAGTTGTTTCTGCAGCGTATAAACTTTATTTCTATCCGCTATAGTTCTTCGAATGTGCGATAACGCGCAAAAAGAATAATTGGTGTATTACCGTAGTGTTCCCAATATCTATGGATTTTCTCAGGACTAACTCAGGAATTTCATAATGCAATTGAAAAAGTTGGCCTAGACTCCTGAGACTGAATAGGAATAATTTGTTGCCACAGTACGATTCATGATGTCCTCTATCAATTTTCTCATCAATTAGTCAAAACCCTTATCTTAGCTGCAACTCCTTAAAATCTAGAATATTAAAATTCCCGTACCTGAGATTATAAAATCTATAGCACCCTCTGTTTTTAACAAGTATCGCTGAAACTAAAACTTCCCTTACCCAAGCAACGGCAACTTTTCCCTCTAGAGATTCTAAACAGTCTAGACTGTTAGATGGTAGCCTCGATTCTCTAGTCGTTCCCAGCCTCGTCTCGTTATTAGATGCATGCGATACGAATCGGATCTAGTGGAGCAACGAATGCGAAAGAGCAACGGGGCTCGGTTGCTCCGTTAGCAGCGCCGGTAGCCCACGAACACTCGTCCGTGCACTCGATTTAAAAAAAGACTCACGACTAAGGCACGCACAGCAGAGAGGCTGCGTTGCTCGCGAGAAACAACGTTTAGCGTGATGGATTGCAATTGCAACACGGTAACACGATCATTGATTGAACTACGCAGAGAAAGATCTTGGTTTCCTGCGTATTGGCTCGCTGAACGTACGCGTGAAACGTACGACGGAAGCGTTCAGCCAGTTCCTGGGTGTGGCAACTAACAGCGGCAGCAGCAACCACGAGAAGATGCACAAGAGCTGGGGATCGGCGGATAATGTGCAGGTAAAGGAGAAAGAGACGGGAACGATCTATCCGCGTTCTCGAAAACTGGCCCCGTCGCCGGGCCTCTTCTCTCTGTTTAACCCTCTATAATTATTCAACCCCTGGACGAGTAATATCCTACCCGATGAATATTGTATGCGAGGAATCGCAAGCTCTTTTAATATTAACGCTCGCTACCCGCGGACAGAGTCGAAATTATAAAAACTAGCTGCTCGCGCTCTTCCGAACACCGATCCGAACCACAAGCATACTTTTTAATTCGAAAGAGTTACTCACTACTCATTTATCTTGTTTGACGAATAGTCATTTCCGTAATGTTTTCATTTGAGATTCTCATTAATAATAATTATATCAATAATTAATATAAAACTCGAAACCGCTATAATATTCGTCTGGAAGATACCTGACTTTTCTTCGAAACTAAACTTCCGATTTATGTTAAGTTGGACCAGAAGATGATGCCACCACCAAAATACGCGCCTATTAAGAAAATGAGGAGCCGACGAATGCAGGATTTTAGCTCGTCACGGGATCACGAAGCTGCTAGTCAGCCGAGTACTCCGCTGCTCCAGGGCAAGGTTTCCCGGACAAGTCAGTCGATACATCGTCGACCAACGTCCACGACGGCTGTCAGTTCCGCCGTGTCCAGGACCCAACAAAGCAACGACTCGGATTCGGATACGGCGTGCGGTTTCGATTCCGCATGGATAGGATCCGCGCAACTTTAAAACGTCCTTAAAAATAGGAACAAAAGCTCCGCTGTATAATTGTGTATTTTGTCTTTAGTCCTTTCCAAAATGAGAAAACAGAAATTGGAGGTATATCATTTGATGGGGAAAAATGATGTAATAGTACAGATTCGAATAGAGTTAATTTAAGAAATTGATGCGAATGGAAGGACTTAAGAAATATTCTAACAATGGGTGTACGAATGATGCTTGCCCTATTGCCAAATGTTGTGCTCTCTGTTATAATTATTACTGTCATTTCTATAAGTGCCTTATTTATGTAATGTCTGATAATGAGAGCTTTAGGTTTGACGATGCTGTTTATACTCAAATCTAGTATCTACATATTCTTTTCTAAACGTATACGATCTAAATTTTTCTATGCACACAGGGTACATCGCGGTTTCTATGCACACAGATTTTTGTATAATATAATTATTCCATTTAAGAATACGAATAAGTCGATGTAAATATTTATCTAATTCTAAATTAGGAGTAAAGTATTGTAATTTACATGCTATAAAGAAATACATTAATTATTGAACTATAAAATATCCCAAGCAAATTGTATAAATAATTATTTGAAGTAATAAATAATAAGCAATTAACCATATTCTATTAATATATCTACGAACTGTTGTATTTATTTCTTCAAGACAAATAAAGCGAAATTAAAATGCTTAAAGAGAATTTCTTGCACCATTCATTGTCCCAACGATTACGATTACGCGAGCACTGCCACTTTTTCATAATATCTCCCTCCTCGGTGACTCTAGAAACGTACACCATCTTCATGAAATCGAATTAACCCGCTCATGCTGCTCGACGCATGTCCGCTACTGTGCATGCGCTTATTGCGTAATGTCATATTCAAAATTAGAAGAACATATTCATTTTAACTAAAATTACCTAAAATGATTTATTTCCTTAGTAGATAAGAAATCAAGTTAAGCATATTGTAATTATACCTGCTAACATTGAAATGATGAAGTTCTCATGTCACTTTGAATTCTCGAAGTTCTTGATATTTTTTTAATTCTACTACTCCCTATTAATTTACCTACGCCAACATTTAGCTAGCATTTAGAACTAATATTCAAAATTAACTAAAAAATGTAAGTAGGATTCAACGATTGTTACACAATTTTTATGCAACGCCTGAGTGTTGTAAATATTCGCAAAATGATGACACGGCTTCTATCGATTAGTTATAACTACGAATTACAAATGAACGCAGTTTGTTACGTTAAATACTTGAAACATTGCCAATATGCGCAGTATTTAAGCATTTTAAGCCATTTACGACGAATTTCTACACGTGTATCTATAATCGTGCCTTAGTATACTGCTAGAGCGAAGTGAAGGAGTCTAACTTTACATATGTGATATCTCAAGTTGCATGATAGAATTATGCAAAGTTTTATATGCTCGAAACGACATTATGTCGTTTCGAAGAAACTTGTCGGGTCCTTATTTAAGTACAATTTAAAGAAATATGAGATATTTAATGCCATGTCCACGAACGTTAACTTTAATAATCAGATGAATAGGTTATGTTTACCATTATCACATCGGGTAATTATGTTACTGATTCAATTTTACATTGTCTATATAAAATGATTATAGTGAAATCTGTTTTAGTTGTATGAAAGAGGACACAAGGAATTAGCTGGAATACGATCGTTGCTTTTAAAAAATAGGTTACCTAGAGTTTATTATTTTCCAAATATGCATAGCACAAGAGGTCTTAGCACAACTTCTGCTAGCCATCAACAACAATCTTCCACTGAATCTAATAAAGATCCAAGCAAAGATCCCAAAAGACCCAATGAATATGACATAGCTGTCCTAAAAATACTTTTAGTTCTAATTTTCACAGGTTTCATCTATTATATGACATTGTCTTCAATCAATGGAGTAGTAGTAAGTCCATAGAAATATATCTACGAATTATGAATTTGGGGATTTTATATATAGAGTTTCCATTTATTCACATCAGGTTGATAAAATAAGTTGGAATGATTTTATAAATGAAGTACTTTTGAAAGGTCAAGTTCAAGAAATTAAGCTCTATCCAGGTCATGTACAAGTTGTTTTAAAACGTGGTGCTACTTACAAGGGAAAGATGCTAGTCAGTAAACTTGATCTTTATGATTTTCCCGAGACCAAAGATGTGGAAGAGAAAATTAGAGCAGTTGAAAGGCATATTGGGATCAAAATGGGTAAGTTAAACTATTTAAATGAAGATGTTACTTTGAATGAAAATTTGATAACTTTATCTCTGTATTTAAACTTGCTACAATAATTTTTAGAGGATGGAATTCCAATTAGGTATATCAATATGGACGATGAGATGGCTATATCAGAACTGATTTCGACAATAATAATACTCGGAGCGCTTTTTATGCTTTTCCGTCATCCAGTCGTAAAAAACAAATTTAACATTCTTACGGATTTGAGGAAAGCGAAATACACATTAATAGATCCCTTCGCTGGCAAAGGTGTCCGTTTTAAGGACGTGGCTGGATTGAAGGAAGCCAAAGTTGAAGTAATGGAATTCGTTGATTATCTTAAGAAACCCGAACGATATAAGAAACTCGGGGCTAAGGTACCAAAAGGTATTTATAATTTTTTTAATTTTGAGACTTGTAGCTTCTTTTGGAATGTTTTACAAAGGTTCAATAAATTTACTTTCAGGCGCTTTGCTTTTGGGACCACCAGGATGTGGTAAAACACTTTTAGCCAAAGCTGTTGCAACTGAGTCGAATGTTCCATTTTTATCAATGAATGGATCTGAATTCATTGAAATTGTAGGTGGTTTAGGCGCTGCGCGCGTAAGAAATTTATTTGCAGAAGCTAAAAAAAGGTTTTATTATTTTTATCTATTGTACATTTACATATCAATGCTAGTTTAAATACATATATACTTTACATTGTTCTTACAGAGCTCCTAGTATTATTTATATAGATGAAATTGATGCTATTGGTAAGAAACGATCTGAATCGTACGCTCAGTTCAGCACCAGCGAATCCGAACGAACGTTGAATCAACTTTTGGTAGAAATGGATGGCATGACGACAGCTGAGGATATTATTATTTTAGCCTCAACGAATAGAGCGGATGTTTTAGATAAAGCCCTATTGAGACGTGGTAGATTTGATAGGCATATTTTGATCGATCTTCCTACTTTAGAAGAAAGAATACAAATTTTTGAATATCACCTTCAGTCATTGTCGTTGGAAGGAAAACCATTACAATACGCTAAATATTTAGCACATCTTACTCCTGGCTTTAGTGGTGCGTATACAACGATTACGTACTAATTATTCAAATGTTCGTTTTCTTTACATTATCTATTTATTATATTTTCCAAGGAGCGGAAATAGCGAACGTCTGTAATGAAGCTGCGTTACATGCAGCCGGAGAGAAAAAGACGAAAGTTCACAATACCGATCTCATGTACGCGATCGATAAAGTATTAGGTGGTACGGTGAAGAAATCTAGTACATTGACACCTTCCGAAAAAAAAGTTGTCGTTTACCACGAGGCCGGCCACGCAATAGCTGCTTGGATGTTAGAGCACGTGAATCCCTTAATTAAAGTAACAGTAGTACCAAGAACAAATAAACGTTTAGGCTTTTCTCAATACTCCGACTCAAATTTGAAGCTTCAAAGCACGGAACACCTTTTTGAACGCATGTGCGTGCTATTAGGTGGCCGAGTCGCAGAAAGTATAATGTTTAACAAAATATCTACGAGAGCGCAGAGCGATTTAAAGAAGGTAACGGAGATAGCATATCATCAAGTACAACAATTTGGAATGAGCCCCTCTGTAGGCTTACTTTCTTTTAACAGGGAATTAACATCGACGGTGAGCTATAGATATTTATTTAAAATTTAGACATTTTTAGAATATATGAGTGACATTTAGATTTTGTATTATTAGAAAACCAAGAAACCGTATAGCAAAAAGTTGGGAAGTTTAATGGATGCAGAAGTACGAAAAATAATTACTCAAGCTTATAAAACGACAGATAAGTTACTAAATGACAACAAAGATAAATTAGTGACAGTATGTATAAAAGAATTATTTCCTTCATGTTTTTTTGAAATGTTATTTCAATAAATAATTTTCAACTCGTGTATAAGTAATGTATAATGTCTAAAAAATTGTCTACTATTTATAGTTGGCTGAAGCATTACTAACAAAAGAGACTTTGACGTATAAGGATATAGAAGCACTAATTGGACCACCACCGTTTGGAAAAAAGGACATTACGGACTTAGAAGATTATATTCCTGGAGTAGAATGAACAAAACCAAGGAAAAACTATACTTGGATAGATATGTACTATACTAATCAATAATACAAGAAATGATTTTAACACATACTTTATTATATCAATTTTTAATGATACATCCCTTTTGTTAATGGCATGTCATTTTTCCTTTTACAAAGAACAAAAAATAGAACTGTTTCATTTATACCATTTTCATATTATCAAAAACAAAAATATAGAATTATAAAATCAACTATTTTGGTATTCTGGTTGTATTTAAACCTACTTGTAGTACGAAAGAAAAAGAATATCTTACATATGCATAGTATCTATGCATACACATATATGTATACATATTTGTATACGTTGAAAAATTTACAAAAATAAAATTAGTACACTTAAAGATTTAACGCACTTAACATGACGGCTTCTATTTGTTATATTTTCACTGTTTCATAGTTACGGCATTTTTCATAAGTAACAAAATAGATGGTATCAGATTAAATAGTAAAGTGTATCCACATAGAAATAAACAATATATCACTTGAACTCGCCCCATATAATGTCCAGTTTAAAAACTGTTTAGACTAAAGATCATCAGAAAGTAACGTAAATAATACTTGACAGTAAAAGAAGATAACTTTGTATGATATACAATCTAAGTCCACGCAGGAACAATAAGATCTTTAATAACACCATTGAGCGTACGTTCCAAATGCGATCCGTTCCAATATATCTTCCCACATTGTTCACAGACATAAAAATTGTTTACATATTTTAATACGTTTCTGGGTATTTTGTCAACTTGTATCCTTGCATCATACTTAGTGGTACACGCATTAATATTTACAGAATTCCTGCTCAATGTCCACGTACGATCTTCACGTAGAGCATCGTTATTCATGTATTGTGAATTATCACTGCTCGAGTTTAATAACACTATATCCACCGAATCTGGTTGAACGCGATAGCCGTTTTCACGTATTACTTGAGCAAAACTGAAAAAGTGTTCCAAATGTTTAAGAAAGTTATATTTATATTTGACAGTCTAATAGCATTGAGGGTCTACCTCTTGAGAAGTTTGTCCATTATTGATTTTGGTACTTTCGCAAACTCGTCACTATTACAAATTTGGCAACGACTGAATATATGTTTTTGCCATACCGCTATTTTAAAAAGCTGTAATACTTCCCGTAGCTGTTCTTCAGGCGTATCATGAATAACGAAATAACAGTTTCCAGGTGGTAGATATTGTAAGAACTGAGGAATATAATTACAATTAATAATTAGTATTATTGAATCTATTCAAATTATGAATTTACCTTTAGATAACCTTTGTTACGTGTCAAGAATACTCTATTTTCGCGCATAGCAAGTTTAGCAGATAGTACTCCACCTTCATCATTTTGAATGTAAACACAATCGCAACCACACATTCGTAATTTGGTCATTAGTCCACCTAACATTGAATCGCAAATAACATGCCATTTGTGTGCTGGTGTGTATTCGTTTTTCATCATTGGTTGAGGTAATTCTTGCAATCTGCTTCCATAATTGGTTTGCCTTATTTGATGATCCATTGTATTTGTATGGTACTGTCTACTCAAAGGCATATGTCTTTTTGAAGAATGAGGTTGTGCTGTTTTGTATAAAGTATGTTGTAAACTATGTTCGTTTTGATTGAACGGTTTCCGGAAGTTGCTTGCGTTTCCTTGTTGTGTAAAATCTCTTTGGTAATTTAATTGTCTACCATAGTTTGGTGTCTCGTTTTTAATCACATTTGCCTACAATAAAATCTTTATAAAAAGATATGAATAATCAGGAATAGATTATTTACGAATAATAGAATTTTACTTTCTGTGGTTGCCACTTTATATTTTTCTTTGGCGATTGATGTGCGACATGTTGCAGTTCTAAGCAGATTTCGAAAAATGGTATATCAAATTTTTCACACTGTTTTTCCAAAGTTTCATAAATTTCCAATAAACAGTACGCGTCCAACGCTATAAATATAATTATACGTTCGTAAATGTTATGCACACACGCACATACATTCTTGAGTTACTAACCCGCATATATTATCTGACTTTCTCTAAGTGGTCGATGCTCCCAATTAGAAAATTGATCAGACTTATTTAATTTCTTTCCTAGACAAATTTCCGTGATATAACTTAAACTGTGTTTGCCAGTAGTTTCATCACAGTCACCTTGGGAAGATACAGATTTATATTTATAATCCTCCACTAACTTTTTCCACAAATTCACAATATCTAAGTATCCTTGTCCATGCATTTTTACTTTCGATAATGCAGGGAGAGTATTGCGTATGACCGTCATATCCTGGCTTATACCAAATCCTGTATAACGTATTTACGAATATATTTATATAGATAAGTTTTATAAAATTTTTGTTAGAATATTTTCGAAGCAAACCAAGTTACCAAGTTTTAATATATCTTTGTTTTCGAACAGCATCAAGGACAGTTCAGTCCATAATTCCTGCAATTGATTTCCTATAGAAAAGACGTCCAATATGTAGACATTCGTTTTCGTAGCTATTTGTATTAATGCCACTTCGGTTTGTTTCGTACCTAGTGATTAAAATGATGTTTACAATTATATTTTATTAAATCACGGAAGAATGAATTACATTATAAACGTTAAACATTACCGAAACAAGGCTTCCACTCTGAATCAATTCCAACAATGAAAACATCTTTCAATCCCGAATCAAGAAATTCCTCGAAACTCTTTGCATCATTAATGACTTTCACACAATTCCTTGATAATCTCAATTCATGATAATCTTCAGAGTTATTCTCATCCGTTTTACTCGTGGATGCCCCGTCATTCACAGCTACATAAATTTCATAAAACTTTACGCAGTGGTACACAGTTAAAACAGAGGAACATCAGAAAAACGATATTATTCATACGTTCAAGTAACGATTGTTCATATGAAATCGCCCATGGCCACTGTTCTTCTGGTATATTAAATCTTTTAGCCCAATACAGACCCTCAGCGGCATCCCTCACGTTAATAAGCATTCTTATCATGGCTAACTGTAACGTTCGATCATTTCCTACGTTCTCTTGGACCATCTCTCTCCAACTGTCGGTACCTTGATTTACAAATACAATCAAAATTTGATTCATACCGTTTTCTAACTAATAGTACCTAGAAAAGGAACATACTTATACTAGATTCCTCATAACGCTTATGTATGAAGAACTGCAAAGCACCTTCGCATCGTTTTTTATTTAAGTTAGGACAAGATTCTTGTGGAAGATTATATAATTTAACGAAACGTGCTATTACTTTAGACATTGATTTTGGTGTTACTGTGAGTTTTGTATCTGGTATATCGTTTCTTCTATAATATACGAAAGATATTATTATATTTAAGATATTATCATCATTAGTTTATTGAAACTTACGTGATTATATCATTTAGAGTTTGGCGCATGTTCTCATTCATTAAGTTATCCAAGTATAAGACTAAATCCCTTTGCAAATGAGGACAGTTATTTAGGAAGTCTTCTACAACTGTTAATTTATTTTGCAGAATGAGAGGTAATACTAGGCATTCTGGATCCGAAAAATGGTCTTGTAATTGCAATATACTTGCATACTGCGCTGCCTCTTTGTACTTCTTTTCTTGAATAATATCCTAGAATTTTGATGAAGTTTATGATAATTCAAGATTTCATTGCTAGTATGAATTTTTAAAGGTATACCTTAATTATATTAATAAACTCTTCTTTGTCTTCTGCCAACTCGTATGTAGCAGCAACCACTTTAATGAACTCTATGTTTCTTTGCTTAATAATTAAACGAAAGGTTGCTATCTTTAAATCGAGCACTAGGAACTCTTTGTACATCTCTTTATTCGGTTCTAACCATTTGTCGAATTCTGTCACAACTGTCATTTAAAAAATATATATACTTTTCATGTTTGTTTTACTTCTTAAGTCAAACATACCAATAATTATTATCGTAGAACAAACCTGTGAATCCTAACGATGAATTTGTTTTTATATATTTAAAATCCGAAGTATTAACAAGTACTTGTAATGTGCTTAAATATGGATTACATGCTCGTTCAAAAAAATCCGTCAACTTTTTAGTTATAAAATCACACTTCTTGTCTATGAAAATGCGTAACACGTGAATTAATAACAGGAACTATTGTTGTTGCAAAATAAGGAGAATTATACTTACATGATTGCCATGCATCTTCCAACCATTTGAGCCAGTTTTTCGTACTCTCGTCTATAGTTGTAAAAATCGTTAAACTGTCGTCATCGTTGGAACCCGAGTACGATAGTAAATCATTCTCATACAGTCTTCTTGACATGTTTGCCGTTGATATACTTATCTTACACAAGCTTAGAAATATACGTTGTAAAAATCAAGTATTAGACGTATTTTGGCAGACTATTTCTCTTGAAGAACAACTATGTTGTGACTGAGTCGGCTTCAGCAAAGAATTTCATTGTTTTCGATTATTTTATAATATCACCGTCTGTCTACGGGCGGAGCTCTTCCACAGTTTCCTCCCTCTCTATAGCTATGTAGAAAATTTGAAAAGATACAGAATGTAGTACATATGTGCATTTAAATAATTCGATATGTACTTATTTCCCTCTATCTCATTTAAAAAAGGAGAGAAGCCAAAAGTAAATCGCTCTGTTTAACAGTAATTAACGACAGTTTAAATTTGGAAATACGTACCTTTTCAATCTTCTTGTTATCAGAGAGCACAAATTTGTTATCAGTTATAAAGGGGAAAGAGAGAATAGAGAGATTTCTGTGAAATTCAGAGTTACGCACGCACGGCAAACGACAAAACTTTAATTCCCTATACAGCTGAATTTCTCTTGTAACCATACAATTCACTATCGCATGTCGTGTCGTGCATGGCAGTGCATGGTGTCGTGTAATGTAATTCGCCTTTCGCATACAGAAATCACAAAATACGATACAAATAATATTTTAATAAATTTAGGTAAATAGTGGACATGAACAGTTTGCTGAACAGTTAAATAGAAACGTTAAAATCGAACTTATACGATCGTTGTCCCACGATGTTTTAAAATCGTTTGTATTGTATGGTGACGCGTAATACACATGTAAATATTTATGTTCTAAAACCAATGTAATTCCTGGAACTATTAAAATTGACTTGTTCAATTCTGTTTCAAGCATGATAAGGAATAATTTGCCAAATGGTTGGATTGCGTTAAATTCGAAAAGACGTCCAGGTCAAGTGTATTATTATAATGCCAAAACGCATCAATCCTCTTGGGAAGTGCCTACAACAGACGAGGATTCAGCGGAACAAGTATTTTAATGTTTCTATTAATAAAGGACTAATAAAGTGTTTAGTCTAGCTCTAACCATATTTCATTTTTACACAGTTTTGAACCTTAACATTTTTTATATATAGTTTCAAATCTAATACATTGTACAATACATATTAAGAATTATACAAATAATTATATAAGACATTTATGCATTTAGATTACAAGAAAGAAGATTGATTCCAAGAAACGTAAAAATTTAACACAATCATCTGAAGATGAAATCCAGTCTATTATCTCTGAAAATGATATATCTCGAACTGAAATTTCTACAAGGAAGAAGCTCGTCGCTAGAAGGACTCTTAAGAAAATGGAAGAAAAAGTTACAGAGGAAAGAGAGACCCCACAGATGAAAGCCATCCGTGAAAAAATGTTAAAAAAGAAATCAAAAGCTGTTCAACAAATTCAAGCTGTATCACCTAAGGATGTTAAGAAAACATTGCCTCAAACACCTGAGAAAAGTAGTTCATCAGAACTCAATGTTGTAACCAATTCAAATTCAAAACTTGTTAATACACCACAAATGGAAGTGCTCTTAGAGAAAATAGCAGGCAGAAAAAATACCTCTAAAGCAATCAAGGTCAAACAAGAAAAAGATAGTACAATAGTATGTAAGGGGAAAGAACGTCGAACAAGATTAAGGAGACAAAGCATGCTTGACCAAACTGATGTACCCATTATTTCATCTTCTTCAGGAAACGATATTACGCGCGAAGTGAAAAGTCCAAAAGGTGGTTTATAAAGCATGTCATTTGGCCATACTATTTTTTTTTTTTATTTTATTATATTTTAAATTACTGTGTTACAGTGACACCAAAGAGGAGTTTATTACAGCATCGTGATTCTATTGAAATGAACGCTGCAACAGTTAAACAAAGTCGATTGTCTTGTAGAAAAAATTTAGGGAAGGAGCGTATGGAGAAATTAAGGGATAGCCTGGAGAAACAAAGCGATGATACCTCAATTCAGTCTTCATTGTCTGGTAAGTATTGTGTTTCATTTACTATTTAATACTAATATTTTGTTATTTCTTAAATAATAATTATAGGCAACAAATCATCAACCTTTTATAAACAGACTAGACTAGCAAAAGTTAGACTAACACGTTTAGAAGAAAAAGCCTTAAAAAATAAACTCTCTAGTAAGGGAAGGATGTGCGCTAATAAACAGGGTGAACGTGCAAATCCGTTTAAGGACACAGTAACTATAACTGATGACGAAGAACCAACAACCGCTAGAGATAATTCAATGAGACAGTCTCATAATGATTCGGCGTATGAAGAAATGGACTGGGAACCATTGGAAGTTGAAAAAATCACACACGAAGTAATATCCCAAACGTATTTATAGTTTTTATGAAACTATCCTAATAAGTAATGTATACTTCGCTGACACGTTAAGAAGTGATAGAAGTGCTAACAAGATGATATACATTTCGGTTTATGTTATTTAGGTCCAAGCAGTCAGAACGCAACTTTGTACAGAAAATAGTACTAAGACATTATGTAATATAGGTAGTAATACCTTAAAGTATCCTCTCTTGCCCGAGCAACACGCAAAGGAGCATTTATATATTGTTGTTGATACAAATGTATTTTTATCAAATATTGATGCTATTGAAATAGCAAAAGAAACTTCCTTTGTTACTTATGATAAGCCTATAATAGTAATACCGTGGACTGTTATACGTGTGAGTAATTTATTTCCTTTTTTATTCATAAGATTCATTAGAGTTACAGAAATAATGAAAGCATTTTATTGCAGGAATTGGATTATATTAAAGATGATAATAGCAAAACAAAACCAGCTACGTTATGTGCAAGCGCGAGAAAAGCAATTAAATATATTAATACATTATTCTCTTCTAACCAGTCACGCATAATGAGTCAAACACCGGAAGACGTTGCAAGGAATAAAAGAAAATTTTATACCAGTTGTCCAGATGACGAAATTCTACAAACTTGTTTACAACTTCGAGATTTAGGAAAGTTTGTGGTAAGTATTCTTTTATTGTATAAAATGCTTGGTCTCATAAATTCATGTTTGGTTTATGAATTTTACCGTTCTTTTAGGTTTTATTATCATATGATATAAATCTTTGTAATAAAGCAATGATTTATAATATTTCAACTCTTGGAAAGAACGACCAACTTGTAAAAATTGGCCGTATTGCTTCTACCTCTGGAAACGTACCTGCTTCGAATTCTAAAAGCGCAGACAAAAATCAATTTACCATAAATTCCAAATCGATTGTAGATTTCGAATTATCTTTAGCGGACGATATATACGAAGATATTAAAAGTATAATAAGAGATTTTCTAACAGTGGTAAGTATAACAAAAAATTTAAGAATAGAATAAAGCAATACAAAGGTACGTAAAAGTTTAATAAAATATTGAATTATAGATAGTTAGCAAAGAAATGCATTCTCTGTATGGAGAATGTTGGGAAAAATATGTTCTTATAAAACCACCTTGGACGACAATAACAGTTTTACAATGTGCTATAAAACATTGGATAGCTATTGTAAGTGAATCATTTACAAAGAAAGCAGATGTTGTCATGAAAGAATTATTGCAGATATTTAAAGATACATCTGGTAAATTTCGCAACATTATGTTTCAATGAAAACCTAATCATACGATTTAGCAATTTCTTATCAATTTCTAAGATTGTTTTTCTTGTTTTAGACGGAAAAAGATTGGAAGAACGTGGAAATATTTTGGATAAATGCAGCGCCCTGGTCCAGATGCTCGATGTGTCTAAACATTCAGATTTGATGTTAAGAGCGTCTAAAAAAATTGAAGTAATTGATCAGAAAATTGTTTATTTTATTAGTAATTTGTTAACATGTTGTATATTTAAAACAAATAATGCTTTTTCAAGGAAGTGAAACAAAAGCTCGATGATTATATGGGTCAAGTAAATGGAAAGAAGTTACACAGCATAATTGGAGTTGAAAATGATGTCGAAGAGCAAGAGCGCAGGGCACAGAAAGCTTTTCAGTTTTTCGAAGCAGCATATGTTTACGCTCGTGACATGTGGTAAGTTTTATAATTGTCATAACGTATAGTTACACATAAGTTTATCATGAATATATCTGCATGTCTATTATTTTACAGTGGTTTGGCCAGTAAGTCAATGGGAATAGTTTGGAATTTTCATCATAATATTCCAAATCCTGTTCCCCCTTTAAATTATTTGGAACAAATTCAATCACTTCTTACAATCAACGTAAATAAACTGGCGACTCATCTAATCGCGTAAGTGATAATTTATGAAATTATGAACTCATTACTACATTATTCTTCCCGAGATTTGGCCAGCAAAATTTGTGGGAATCAACTTTTCTTTCTTCACCTTTTCTATTTTCTTTTTTGTTTTGCCGAATTCAGTGGATAATTTTGACCTTATTGCGCTGTTATCGGAATCTAACTTCTTAATAATTGTTTTATTGTAGCATACTGGAGCAAGCCAAAAAATCTTATATCGACAAGGAAGCATTATTTAATTTACATGATACGTTGATAAATTTTCTTCCTGAAGAAGAGGCCATAAAATTTACCAATATAAATTTAACGCCCCTTGATGTATATTATTGCATAAAACGTAAGGAAGATGTTCTAATTCGAGGCTTGCATCAATTACAAGAGCTCGATAGTCAGTTCTCCAATTTGGCGAATTATAGATACGCGTAAACTTATGTACATGTAAGTTGTTTATCAATTCCTTTAAAATCATGCTTTGAGTTTTTTTTATAAACAATATATGTAAATTTGTGTTCGAAAATGATTCAGTTAGTATAGTAATGTAAATACAGTACAGCTAAAAGCGGGAACTGATCCGGAAGGTATGAGGAACATATAAACTCTAAACTTTTTTTTTTATTAACAGTTCTATATAATACAATTAACTTTTGTATAATGTGAAAAATAAAAATGCACAGCCAGAAGTGTATAGCGGTCTATATTAAATTATGTTCCCTGGCGATGATTAATAGAACAATTTAATAATGCCCCCGAGTTTGAACTTTCGATTTGTATTAATTTAATTTCTATACAATTTGGGAAATCCTCCTGCTGGTGGTTGTAGCCAGTTTTCCTTTGAGTAAGAAACATTCTGCGTATCGATCACATGAAATGTGTAAGCGTGCCTCGATTTGTCGCTCTTGTTCGGGTGCGAAAAGTGCACTACTTGTCCGTGAATAAGAATACAGGTCCCTTTGCTGACCGGAACAGGTCGAAAATTGCTAAGTTGATAACAAGGTGCGGCTTTGTCGTAGATCAACAATTCTTTGGAATCTAGATCTTTATTCCTTATGTAACGTCTATGCACACCGCTTTGATGAGAACCTGGCGCGATCCATAGACATCCATTTTCTAGCGTAGCATCCTCCAAGGCTATCCAGAATCCGACTACTTTCATTGGATCGGTGTACAAATACGTTGCATCTTGGTGCGTTTTCACTAAAGAAATTCACGCTCGGTTAATTACTATTTTATTTGAAATGTAACTGTGTACATTATTTTAGAATATAATAAACATTTGTATATATTTAATAAATGCAAATTCTTTCTTTACCTTCTGACCCTGTTCCTGGATTTTTGTAAATATACATCGACTGACAGATAGCCGGTTCCACGTAATCCAATTGGAAGGCTGTTTCCTTAACTCTCTCGTCGAATGTGTACTTTCTGAACGTAGGATGAAGCCAGTGGAGAGCATGTCCTACCTATAATTTAAAAAAAAAAAACGGACACTATTAATATTATCACAAGATTATTAAATAAGCTTCTATGGTTTACCTTGTTTAGAGACACTCGAGGATGAACTTTTAATTTTCCATCTTCCTCCAAAGCTTCGGATTCAAAGAAGACGCTGATCTTGTTGGCGCTGTCCAGAAAATATTTATCTTTGTTCTTATGTAACAAGTAATGTACAAATGTAAATTATGTCGAATAAATAATGTATTACTTAATTTACTTAAAGTATGCACCTGTTGCAATTCTATCGTGCTGAAGACTTTTCTCTCGCTTTCCGGAGGCAAATTTTTCGTGAAATCTTCACCAGCACATTTCATTTCGTCGATCTCTTCTGGTTGAAAGAAATCTTCCAGGACGACGAACCCATTTTTCTCAAACTTAAAAAGAAATAAAAGTTATTTTTAATTTTATTAATAAACTAATGGACAATTTTCTACGATAAATATTTTGATTAATGTCTATAATCTATAAAACAGAACAGTTTGGCAGTTGAATGCTGTTTATGCAGTTTATGCGTACATAAACGAGGGAGTATATTACATTTCTGTATATCAAACTGCACACTCATCTCTTGGCTCGGCAATTACAGAACAAACTTACAGTTACTAATCCCATTATTCATGAGCGATATTGTTTCATTCTAATTTTGTATTTGGCATGTTTACTTTGTACTTTTTAAATAACTTGTACGTGTACAGTTTACAAATGAAGATATATAATTATTTAAAACTGCGTTGATGACCGCAGTTGCTAATCCGACTTAAAAGAAAATTAGGTCCCTGACAGTTCTTTCTCAGAGCTCTTCAATTATTCTGGCAGACGTGTTTCGAAAAATTCTTCCAATATCGTGGATGAATCAGGTGAATGAGCGTGAATCGTCGGGCCGAGAATAGAAAGGCGCGCCGGGCAGCGTGGTCGTTCATTCTTCTTCGTGAATGGACATGGACACGGGGTGTAGTGCAGCCTCTCCCGTTTCACGGGTCCGCGAATCCGGATTTTCGCGTGATCGTTAGACCAATGTAACGACTACTATAAGGTGCTCGGGAACCCCGATTGTTTTTTCGCGAGAGACCGTGATTCTGAACTTTCCCTCTGCCAATCCGGCTTAATAATGAAACCTTTAATTGACTCGGAAAACTTCCACCTATTAGACTTATTGCCAGAGACACGACGCGCACAAAAATGTATTGCCAAAAAGAATATACTGTCCAGATATAGAGTCCAGAATATGAGAAACTTCGAGGGAAGTGAAAGCACCCACACATTATTTGATACGTAACTAATAATAAAGACGCAATGGTGAACATTTACGGATCACGTAAATTAGTTTACCGAAGAGGGTAGTAATCAACGTCTTTCATGTGATAGCATGATATTGAAAAAGGTTTTTCAAACGATTTTACTTTCTGATGTATTTTCATGGAAAATTAATTTTTAATCAAAAATCGTATGTAGAGCAGAAGATACGCTTACTCATCTTTCACTTTGTAGAAAGTGTATAGTCTTAATTGCCTTTCGATTTCGTACTGCGATTAAAAATGTGGAACGTATATGATTATTAATATCGTACCTTCATTCCTTAGGCAAAGTAATGAGCATAAATTTTTTACTTTAGCTTGAGAATCATTGAGGAATAGAAATATATTTACGTCATTTATTTGAGTGAAATGTAGTATTCTGTGGTCAAGATTAATTTCGTGAATAATAATTATGCTCACAAATTGTCTTCAAACGTTTCAATTAAATTCTTTTTAATGTGGCAGAAAAAAAGTAGGCATTATGTTTCACTGTTTTTTGGTATCACTTTCTTACTATTATTTCAGTATTGGACAACGAACATATATTTTCTTTTGCCGTTAAAAAGACTAATTGTGACGTGTTTCCCTCGTCCAAGAGCACGTGGGTGGGTCGAGAACGTCGCAATGTGCGTTGGTCTCCCCTGGCCATCTAATCGTCACTTTACTCAGAATCTAAAAATGGACCTCCGGGTGGCAGGGTCGAAAGATGCCCGTGAAAAGACCATTCGAAATCGAATACAAATTTTAGAAAGAACAGTTACGATGATAATTTTAAGATTGTATCACCGAAATAAAATATTGATATATAATTATTAACAATTAATAATTACCTACGATGTTAATCACACGAATAATTACTGATCATATCATTTATAAAGCGATATATAAATTGACAGTATGATTGATTGATTGATTTAAAAACATCAAATATTAACATAATATTATTGAGGTAAACAGGTAGTTAATTAGTAATATTTTGTTTGACGTACGGCTAAGTAAAATTCTGATCAAATTATACGTTTATGCGTCAAAACGTGTATTAAATATACGATAAGGTCGCTGGTCCATTAATTAATACAATACCAACAAGCAAATAAATCAGAGGTAAAGGAAGAATACGAATGTTTACTGAAAATTACATTCTATTTATAACATCAATTCATTTAATTATTTGTGCTAACTTCAGTGTTCTCAGTGATAAATACATTGTTTTAATGAAATATCGGACGAGTTTTTTCGAAAAAATTAAAAACCAGTATAGCAACTTACTATTTATATACATGTATACCATATACGTAAGATATGTAAGTACATACTAGTTGCCATCTATTTCTGTTTCGTACATATGTATGAACATGCTATTTGCGTATTTAGCTTCATTATCTTAATAGATGCATGTACAGTATGCAACTTGTGTTTTCTATTTATATTTAAAGTAAACTATTCTGTACATGTTAAACCATACGAAGACGTATTGTACTTTAATGACGGAAACAAATAATCTATCATACGAAGTCACATAATTAAATCATAAAAAATGCACAAACGAAATTGTTACATCTGTGAAATAAATGAAACTCGAAAAGGTAAAAGAAATCATGAGGTAATTAATGGTATGTCAATTATATTAGTACACGGATATTAATTCGGGACATGGACCACAGCGTGGTAGGAGGATGCTGACCCCTTGGCTCGGGAGTGATAGGTCTGTTTCGATTATGTCAGCCTCCTATGACGACACCGGGCATTGGTCTCTTTGAAGTGACAGAGACACCATGTCGTACATCGAGATTCGCTTTTAGCGAGTCCGTATATAGAGCCGGGATCGGTCATCAGAACATCTAATCGGTAAACCCGACCTTTGCTGGTGTCATTAAAAATGTGGTATGACAAAGAATGCAATGCTTTGAGTAATCAATCGCCTTCTGTAATTATTTAACATACGTGTTGCGTGTGACAGCCAAAATATTTTTCCTACGATCGATTCAATTTATGCATAAAATCTGAGTAGAATTTCGTACGATTGTCTATTATTTATGTTTAATGTTTATATGTATGTAGAACTAGAGAGGAACATTTTTGATCAATATAGTCTTTAATGCAAAAGATATGAAGATTTTTTAAGCTTCGTTAAAAGCAGCTGATTTTGTTAGGAGTTAAGAGTAGCTCGTCTTTTTTGTTTAAATAGTGCAATTGTCGATGTGGAAAATTGTTTGGAACATGAATTGAATTTATGAAGCGTACGGAACAGGAAATGAGCTAATTATAAATCTTGAGAGCAAGAATAAAATATTAAAGAGTTGGTACCATACGAGAACGTGGACTGAATTTCAATGAATAACTCCGGCGCAAATAAAGATATCTAGAAAACAAGCTAACATATTCTCAGACGTCACGAAGCGAGTTCAAACAATCCTATTCCGTGCTATATTTTACAATATAATCGACGAAATTCGTAAGGTAAACCATAAAAACAGCCAACAAAAATATTAGCCAACTGCACGAACAGCGGCTTGCCTTGCGAACAAGAAAGTCTCAAAGAATTATTCATCTATTTCAAACCTACCGAAGATATATCAAAGTAAAATAGACAAACCACGTTTTTCATTTAAGACATGTTTATGTCCGACATAAAGAAGGAAACAAGCCTAGTAAAAAAATAGAAAGAATTTAGATACTACGTTCCATTTATCACAGTGAAAATAAGTCACACTTTAACAATGCTAATCTCGCATGTAATTCATTTTTTATGACCTTCAGTTATTTTCTACAAATGTGAATAAATACCTACTTAATTTGCATCATGAATTTTGTATACGTTTCATACTTTGCATTCTCTTCAAAAACAAATATTCTATTGAGTCGTAGCATTGACGGTACTAAAGTGAAATGCAACGGAATCCCACGTGGTCGTTGCATCGCGGGTGCGAGACTGGACCTTGACTTCCAGCCGAGATAAGGTAACAAGGTCGTGCTAGCATTTGACTCACCTGCGACCGGATGTCCCTCATCCTATTACGTCCGTCGCAGCCAGTCGGTCTTGGATTGTTTGATCGGATCTGCTGCACAAGGCCGGGCAAGCTCGTACGTATTACGTTCACGAACGTGCGACTGCTGCTACGAAACTGATGAAACTGACTTACTGACGGACTAAATACGTAGGTGAGCCCGAGCTCTGAAAGCTGATGTAGCGACCGTCGGACTCGGATCGAGTCGTGCGGAATCGAGTTGACTCGCGTTGGGTCAGATTTAAACTCGTTCGCGCCGTTACCACGCTTTGTAAATACGCGTGCGTGCGCGCTACACGAATTACGAATTTCTGGCGCCGTGAAGTCTCCTAAGTCCAAGAAAATACAGTCAATATTTTTAAACATGAGATTAATCGTGTATTTAATTTTCTATCAAACTCATTTATATTCATCATCTTCTGTAATTGCATGACTATTTTTCGTTAAGAAGCTTTAAGTGTTTATTGAACTTATGCTGGCAATTATTTTTAAACGCTCAAGCATTCACTCGCACGTTTCAATCGATGATACATCATCCCTTTCTAATAGTCGAAAAACTCGAGAAACACGAAAGCTTCGGTGGAAACTCCTACGCTACAATTTTATTTCCGTCGCGTTACTCAGGGAAAACAACTCTGCCACATATGCAGCACATAGTTCTCTGGTAGAAACCAATTTCGATAACCGGAAACAAATGAATGAGAACGCGTGTCTAACTGGTTACCAATACGATGATTCACGATGGCAAATTAATTGCAGACGACGTTATCCACGTGCACGGTAGAAAGAAACGGTGGAAGCGATACACTGGGCACGGGGTGTCGCGTCACCTGAACTGATATACTACACGCTGGAAATACAGTCGGGCTACGATAAGCGACGTAATATATTTTTCCAGCGTAGCGCGGAGAGTCCGCGTCGCGGAATGGATAAATCGTTCTTCTGCGCGATTTCATTCGGATAAATTATTTCTTTCGGGGAAATCGTCGCCGCTGGGACCATTCCCGTGATACACAGCGCGACAGGATCGAGGAATTCGTGTGTGCGCGCGCGATCAATCTTATAAAATTAATCAACCGTCCAAAATGATTCATGCTCGGTTAGAAGAAACGTGCAAATTTATAAATATCTTTTATGAAATGTTCATCAATTTTCATCTTAATTGATTTTACATTTTCCTGTAAACACATTACACCTATATAATATTTCATTTTTAATATTGTTCAAATTTTTGGCTCATCGTGTTATTAAATCTTTTATTATTGCATTACGAAATGTTATACATATGCATATTAACCGATTTATACGAAAACCTATTGAAGTGATTTATATTACTTTTTAACACAACAAACGTTTCTTTTTTTTTGTTGCTTTCAGGTGAATGAAAAGATTGTAACGGATGTCCCTCGAGTTCGAGATGGGTAACGCAAGCTGGAAAGTTCACTCCGTCCGACTCGTTAATATGCTAATCTTACGAGCAAAAATCTTATTTTATTGTCGGCACTGAGCGCGGATGGTTTTGTCGCCCAAGAGAAAGGAAACGTAAACGATTATTGCGAGCTGGTTAAAAACACAGGATGAATAGGATGTCGGTCGTATCGTCGACACTTGCGTCGAAACAGCTTTTTCTGCTCATTCTGGAACGACAATTGTCAAGAACAATACCTTTCGGAATTGATATTTTCAAACTGATAACATTTTATTCACCTCATCAGACGAGATATATGCTGTTTGCATTTCAAATTAAAGTTTTTGTATTTCAGAAGTAATAAACTGGAGTTCAAGGAAGAATATAATATTTCACCTTTCCAATTTTTACTTGTTGGATTATTTCATAAATAATGCACGTGCTTTTCAGTACAATAATTCAAACAAATCTATTTCAAATGATTTTTTATTTGATCGTTCATAGCTTGTTTAAAAGAAACCTTATCCTTGAAATCCAGCTATATTACCAGTATTGGGGACACAAATATAGGCTCATTAGTTTTTAGACAAGTATTGTCCATCGTCCATTGTATGTATTTACTATACGGCGCATTTTTAGCCGTGGCCCTCAATGGCGAGGCGAACTAGCCCCTAGTTGCGACATGACTACCTCGAGCACACAGATTTAACCGGAATAAAGTCCGAAATCGTGGCGCGGGTGCCATTTGACTGTTGGCCAAGCCCAGGCGTTGACTTAGTTTCTTTTTAGACCGTAAGGCTTAGCTGCTGCGGCATTATTGCGCTATTAATGCCGAGTGTTGTTACTCGTGCTGGTAGTGGCGTGAAACTAGACCCAACCGACCACCCTCGATAGTACAACTCCTGCTCCTACCACCGACGCTCAGGAAGGCCGTCGCGACCATTTTCTGATAATCTGGATAAGCTGGGCCATACGCGAACGTTGCGGCAGAACTTCTTGGTATGATGCCAATCGAGCAGTGATGTTCGAAATTCAAGGGCTATACTGCACATCCTTAACTTAATTATCTAAACATTTTTTTAATATCTGAATAAAACGAGTAAAATAAGTAAAAGAGGCGACGTAAGTAATTATAGCGTATTTATAGCGTCATTAAAGACATGTGATATTAAAAATAGAAAAGCGAAGAGGGCTAAATAAAAAATAATATAGTAGCATCATTTCGACTCGATAGTACTTCAAAATAGAATCAGCTCTTCTCACGAATTTAAGCTGTCCTATCTACAAGGTAATATAAACAACGTATAAATATCTGGAGAAGTAGAGCTCTGCGAGAATGGAAACCAGGAAAGATGGAATACCCCGGATTTTGTTCCATGTCAATTCTGTAAAAGCTACCACCAATAACGAACATCTCATCAAACTAATAATATAAATTTTGCATGATGAGGGAAAACGAGAAAGAACGAAAGCGTAATAAGAGATAAGTTCAGCCAATGGAGAGATGGCCGTATACTAATTATCCGTGCATGCTAGAAACGTTATTTCTGAATTATATTTATTGATCGGCAACTATAGTAACACAGAGATATCTATATTGCACAATGGTCCTTATCATCGAGTGCTCGTCATGCTGGAAAACTTTGCAATCTAACTAGACTGAAAAACGTTCTATAAAAATTTAATTGTGCAAGATATAGAATGCTAATCCATCGATTTTTTACAGTATTTTAGATTATATAAAGCAAATATTCATTTGTTGTATGTCTATTCAGCAAATAAAATAAAATAAATTAAAAGTAGCATGAATCAATACTATGTTTTTTCGTTATTAGTATTTTCTTAAAGCATATTGCAGGAAAATAAATCGAGTAAAAATTGTTTATGTACATTTCTTTACTCATTGTTTTGCAGCTTTTAAGAAAGCAATTGAGAAACTCTTTAACCCTCCAGCGGAGTAATTTAAGAACACAATTATGATTGAAGAGTCAATACTCAAAGCTGAAAGGAACGAGAAAGGGAGAATAACGCCGCGCGAGCGTAGTCGTTCGCGAACATTTCCCTTGGAAAGTTTCCAATTTTGAGATGAATAAAATAATCGGATAAGCGCGACGAAATAGAGGATGATTAATCAACGACTGTTTCCATGAATAATTTGCTAGATATAAACGAGGAAATGATTAAGACCGACAGGCTTAAATGCGATGGGAGGAGCAAGGGTTAGAAGCAACTTATGCTACGTATGCTAACGTATTCGGGTAGATGATCTCGATACACTCGAGCGATCGATGCACGCGTTTGAAGAGTGATCATAAATTATTTTAACAAGCAGCTGACTGAGGAGTTGGGTATATAGGTTAATCAATTTATTAGTCCCTAGTGCTTAATTCGCCATCTCACTCAGTCTTCATTTATACGTTCGTTCCCCTTTCCTTAAACGAATCCGAACTTTTGTCTCTTATTATACTATTATCGGAAACTCTATAAA